TCTGCACAGATTGAATTGTCACCTACGTAAACCCTTATGACAGTTGCATGGAAACCAAAACATGCATAGTAACAACATAGTAGATAGTGAAGTAAATTGAAAATCAATCCACTGACCTCGTGATTAAGTTCGCCATCCTCATTTCTGAACTGGATATTTAGCGAATCGTCAGGTAGAAAGCGGTGCAGCATTCGCATCTTCTCACCACCAACACCGTTTGCACAGTCAAGTATCAAATCAGGTGAATAGTTCTGACTTCTCTGATTTCATTCCAAGCTAAAAATATCCACTCAGATATATAAAAATACCAAGCAGATTTGGTGATTCTCTTTTTTTTACGTGAATTAAATGACGTATCGATCGTGAGACCATAACACTGGAGCGCAAATCGAAACTATATTCTGAGAGGATCACTTTATTACCAATCACTGATCCAACTACAATTAGAATTGGACTCACGAAAGTGCGATTTGGCACTTGTACAGACTGTCATATCCTTCATTCATGCGTAGCTGCACACTTTCGCTGGATGTATTTTCACAGGGACTATTTTCTCATCTTATTTCTATCAGTATTTCTATGGAGCAGAGATGGCTTTAGGTAAATGGTGTCCTCCTATTACGCACGTGATCCACGTATTAAATATCGTTTCACTATGCTGGACAGCCAAGCTCTCATTCACGAGGTCGCTCATATGTAGCGCTTGCTATAGAGCAATAAGAACGACTTGCACATCGACTAGACCAAAATAACTCACTGTATTGGAAATCAGGGCGTCACTACGATACTTAGAAGAAAACAAATGGGTTTGAAAAGGGGATTGTTAATGGTGAACTGCTTTACCTTTTTCTGCAAAAATATGTATGTAGGAGAAAGAGGGATTCACAGAGAGCTGTGAATTTGAATGAAATGAAAAAGAGAAAAGAAGGAATTTGAGGGAATACAGATGGATGAGTGGTGTAAAAAACGTACTAGAATAAATAAACAAATTTGGCGAACAGCAATGAACTAATTGAACCGTGAAGCAGCAATAAACATATGGTAAAAAATTTCATGTCTAGCGCTGGATCAAGCCCCGGTTGCAGAGCATGGGTTGAAAAATTGAGTGAAGTCACCTTGAGAAGTTTCTTAAACGCGTCTGATATCCGGGCGTAGTATCCAATTTCCCGTGCATCACCGAAACTAGGATCGTTCTTGCACCTCACTATGTAATGAAGCTGCGGCGTAGTTAGAACACCTAAAATGCAGAAAGTTCAAGTTCCAGGTCAATCCAAGTCCGTGAAGTGCTACTGACATAGCCGTACAAGATTTCCATGAGACTGCTTACCATGACTTTCATAAGCCACACCCATAAGGGCCGCACCCGCTTTTGCTGCTTCAATAAGGTGTGGCCCACTATCACGTGAGTCCATAGCACATATCACCAAAGCGTTTGGGTGTGGAGCTCTTGGCGCTATCTTAAAGCTATTTTCCTCGAAAACGCGACAAAACAGATATTTAAATGTTCAAACTCACTTGAACTTCCAAAGCTCGGACAGCCGTAGGCAGCTGTTCGTCACTAGCATTCACAAGTTCCGAAGCGTATTTCTAAGTGTTTGAAAAGTGATTCAAAAATTTAATGTGGTTCACATCAAGCGTACACAACCTAAAGCCATTAGCGCCGACCTCTATACGACACGAGAAGTCGCGTCATAGAGGGAGGGTAACAGAGGAACCGGTGGTTTCTCAAAAGAGGCATACCCCTCACCGCAACACTTTTTAAAGGCATGCCCCAGGATCGCACTGGTGTGGCTCTTGCACACGAATGTGAATGTATCGGTGCCAAGTGGGCCGGCAGTGAAGAAAAAAGGAAAAGAATCCGTCGAAAACGCTCAGGTTGAGGGCTCACTCACCTTCCTAATTGGCTGTGCTAAAGGAACGAGAGACTAAGCGCGAAGAGGAGAGTATGGGGCGAGAGAGCGCATCAGATGAGAGAGCACCAGACAACAGCCTGATAAGAGAGCTCGTTCGCTGCAGCTTGAGCAGCTTACTTTGCAAGGCCCAAGCGCTCTTGTCGGTCGAATTCCGTGCACGTGAACGCCACATTTGTGATTGTCCCCTAGGGTTCTATACTTCTGACCGAAGAGAAGAGTTCACACGACCTCTGCCTGGGTTGTGCCTTTAAGGCCATCAAGCCATGTCTGATATGATCAGTTCGAAGGTTCCATATTAATTCGTGTGATCATTCAACTAACCTCCCATTCAGTGGCGAGCATTTCTCCTTTGGGATCCACAATCTTGACACCGTTATCTTTAGCTGGATTGTGGCTAGCAGTAATCATTACGCCAACTGCTTGATTCAGCTCTCTGAGAGAGTCTATTTTGAGCTTTAATGTGCTATAGGGTAGTTGCACATGCTTACCGTGCTCGAAGACCTGCCAGATAGCCCATACGAAAGACCACAAAAGGTAAAATATCGGAATTGTAACGGAATCCAGCAGTTCCTGAACGACGTTTTAGAACGTAGTGAGTAGTGACTCAGAGTTCATGAATATGAAGGGAAAACTGCTCCAAAATCTCGATCAAGCTGAAGCTTCTGCAACTACTACCATAGGCAAAGCGTAAGTCATCTGGTATCGGACATAGCTTCCCAGTGTGATTTCGGTTGCGGCATCGAGTGAAATCATCAGGAACTTCCACCGGCAATATATCGGCCATACCTGAATCAATAGGCATTAGCGGCTCCATTAGACTGCGGGTGGTACGTATAATACCACCCCTACCTCCCACTTGTGCAACACCAAAAGTTACAGAGTCTCAGTCCGATGGAAATTCTTCAAACAAACTGGTCCAATATAGTGTTGTTAGCAGATGGAAGTCTGTGTCCTGGATGTCTAATGGTGCGCCTTGTCTATCACCGGTTAGACGGTGCGCTGCCAATGTGTCGCTTGGTTTCAGGAGTTTATGGTGCACCAACCCCAAAAAAGAACGCTGAACGCATAGCTTGGTTTGCTACTGTCGCAATTGATTCGAGGGAAATGAAATTTCATTCCGGAAAACGCTGCTTAGTTCCTTACCTTATTACCAATCTTGGTCCCCCGTCAACCGCCGGGACCTCCTTTTCCTGTGTACGATTTACGTCTTGGAATGACATATCAAAACCTAACCTCACCTTGGTCTGTTGGTGATTGGTTTTCCGCTTCCCTCCTCAAACACCCTTCCCTCCCTCCACTGCCTCCAGCTGCCACTGCAGCACCATGTGGAATGACCGGAAGTGTGCTAAGCAGGTGTTTATATAGCCGTTGGGGTGTTATCACAATCATCCATTGCAAAACATTGATAGCTCAAATCCTGCGAGCTACCCGATTTGTTAGCGGTTTATTCCATTAGCTGCCTTATCACTCACTTCATTTTGCGGACGGACACACATACATACATACATACAAACCGACACACCAAGTTAGCGCTTTATAAAATAGAAGGATTACTTGGCAGACCGCCTTGGCTCAAGCGGAGACTGCACCGGTTGTACATGTGAACCACTGTTGAGGAACAGTAAAGGTCGTTACAGGGAAGGAGCGATGACGACAATTCGAATTTGCCACTTTGATGATGCTTCAGTCAGCTCGAACAGTATCCCACTTATCCAACTTTAACTTCTTTTTAAACACCGAGATCCTTGAATGCTGTAACTGTGCTGGCTTTTGAGTTCTCCCGTTTGCTCTCGAGCGATCAAGCTGCGACTTTCATTTATCAAAAAGCTATAATTTCGCAAAAAAAAGGACGTGTGACCTCTCAGGAGCAGACCTAGCCGAGGGTAAAAGTATTGGCTTACGTCTGCGCCCTCGAAGAGAGGTTTTATCCTTGTCAGTGCAGAAACCATGTACTGCAAAAGTTGCAAAAGAAGCCCTGGTCCAGCATCAGGCTAAGGTTGACAGACCGGCTGATGAGGGCCACAATCACCTTAGTCATACCTTAGTCATATCTGAAAGTCGCAAGTGCATGTAATTTTGATGCCAGGACGTCAGTTTACGTTTGGAAGTGGTGCAGAGAACCCTCGCCAGACTTCTGCGTTGAGTATGCGATGGATACTGGGGTGTGAGCGGCCAACGGCTCAGCCAAAGAAGGGAGTACGACATGGGACCCGGAACGTATGATCGCATATGGAGAACTATCAAGAGGTCTTCAGATCTGATGACGCATAGAAACATTGAGTTACCGCAGGAAGACGTGGAATGGTGGCAAGAACATGGCCTTTCTGGAGATGGTGTCAAGCCTAACAATACGGGGACGACGATAAAAGGAAGGACCTGGCCCTAGCAGCAGTGGGATCTTCAACGATTAAGAAAGGAGGTCTCTGCTGTAAACAGGATTAGCGGTCGAATTATGACTGTGAAGATAGAAACGGATAGATAAGACCGAGGGATATTGGTCGAGCACGCGCCACAAGCTCGCTAGCCCCCAAGTTCAAAGGATGAGCCTTACCGAACCCTTACGAAGCCATCAACTCTCTACAGAGGCGCCGGTCACCACGGACATGGCTTCTAGGTCGCTACGTCCACCCTTTTCTGCTGAAGCGCCGTCTTTGAGTCTTAGCAGCCTAGCCTTCACGACAGGCAATTTCCTTCTTCTTCAGGAGCCAATTTCAACACCGCCTAGCACGCTTCGAAAGAAATGAAATGGATTGCTCAGTTAGATCGCGAATTATAATCTTTAGTTGTTTAGATCATTGAAGAGGACCAGAAAGTCGATATGTAGAGCTGAATGTCGAACTCATTAGGCTCCTTAAAGGAAAGAAAAGACAGCTCAATATGCGTGTGTTGTTAAGAAAACGACATCGAT